CAGTACATGCAGACATGACAGCCAAGTTCGTTTGCTCTTTCTATCCCTATGTTTTGTTGCTGGGCACACTGAAGACAGGGTCACTAGGAAAGGGACCCTCACTGACAAATTGGGACCAATATCAGTTCCCTGGAGACCATCATTTATTTTTTGGTAAATGCCATAAATGAATATACAGTGTCATTCCCACAGTCTGTAGCATTTAAGTCTTGGAAACAGGTGACAACTAGAAAAAAGAATTAACAATTTTTAAGTCTTTTAATAATTTAATGTTCTATGTCCTTAAGTCTGTTGGACCTTAAGGTATTTGGGTCTAGTTATGTTCCAGCGATAATAAAGGGCCTGTCACATGATATAGGCCAAATATTCAGCAAAATTCAGAAGCCCCAAGTGCTTCCTCACTTGAACATATTGGGCTTGTCTCCTTTGTAAAAGGGGTTTGATTTTCCCTATAATGAATGACTTAAAATGGGTGCTTAAAAATTCCACACCAAGTCTCACAACAGTGAACAAACACTATTCAAGAATGCCCTCTGCGCCTGTTTCTTCTTTTTTTTGTCCTTTTTGAGACCGGCCACACCGCGCTCAGCCAGTGAGCGCACTAGTCATCCCTATATAGGATCCGAACCCGTGGCGGCGGGAGCACTGCTGCGCTCCCAGCGCTGCACTCTCCCAAGTGCGCCACGGGCTCGGCCCTGCGCCTGTTTCTTCTGTAAAATGAAGGAGTTGGGTTAGAGTTAGTGTGGCAAGCCAGACCATACCATCAGGAGCAAACTAAATCCTCTACCACAAACCCCAGCAGTGAAGAGGGTGAGGAGGACAGAGCTTCGGATACAGGAGGGGGCCACAGCCAGGGCACCATGTGGCTGGGAAAACCCACCTTCCAGAGACCAGTGTCACCTCTAAACTGTCAAGTCTCCAAAACACGTCTTTGTCTTTTGATCTGATGAGTTGGTCTAATACGATTGTCTCATTCATTCCAGTGTATGTACTTGCTGTAAATTTATGTACAGAATTAAATATCCCATTTATTAATTATAAACCGTAATAAAACCAGACAGTCATTTCCCCTCACCAGCAGATTTTGCATTGGAAAAGGAAAACAAATTAATATATACAAATTTCAGCAACATCAGAAATGTTCATTAGGGCTGGCCGGTTGGCTCAACTGGCTAAAGAGCAGCCTTCTAATGCCAAGCCCAAGGGTTCGGCTCCCTATACCACTCAGCCTCTAAAAAAAAGAAATTTTCATTAAACCTGAATAGAGACATCATTCGTTTTGGAGTTCAATTATATGTTCAAGGAATCAATTACTATAATCACATAGACAATTTTTACAGTGCAAAATTACCCTCACTCGTTATTCACCAGTGAGAAAAATTCTACTGCAGACTCTAGTGCCTCTGGTGAAGGCACCCAGCAAGTTCTGATCACAGATAACACCCTCCAGGATTGCCTCTTCCCACTTTATATAGCAATTATCTCAAAACTTGAGACCTAAGTATTTAGAAAGCAAGCAAACAAACGAACCAACAGGGACTTTCCTGAGAACTCTGGTGTGTGAACTCTCAGGCAAGCAGAGTGGCCTGTTCATAAGCTGACAGTTTAATCTCTTAAATGCAAAGTTCCAATTTTCAAAAGCGAGAAAACCAGGAGTCATGCATAAGCTCCGTTACTGCCTCTGAATGGGGACACATCTCATCAGGAGATAAAGGGTGAATTGCTTCCCATCTGCCGCTCATTCCAAGTATCAGTGAGAGGCTGGGGAAAGTGCTGAAGAAAGAAGGCAGCCATCAGGGCCGGCCCGGTGGCGCACTGGAGAGTGCACCACCTGAGAGCGCGGCGGCGCTCCCGCTGAGGGTTTGGATCCCATGTGGAGACTGGTTCCCGCTCACTGGTTGAGCGCGGTGCGGGCACAACACCGAGGGCTGCGATCCCATTGCCGGTCCCCGGTGCGGGCGTGACACCGAGGGTTGCGATCCCGTTACCGGTCAGTAAAAAAGACAAAAAGGAAAAAAAAAAAAAAAAGAAGGCAGCCATCACCAGAGACCCCACAAACCAAGCCAGTGGTCCCCTCCATGAGGGCACAGTCCTTTCATGATGGCAGAAAAGATCACAATCTGGATCTCAACACACAGGCTTACCTTCTGGGATTCTATGATTTTCCTGATGTGATTCTGCCAAGAACCAAACATATTCACCAAAGGATCTGATTTGGCAAACCAAATCCTAGCTTGGTGGTCACCCCTTCTCCCTTCAACCAGGACATGATTCAGATCCTAACATAAACACAAAAAACAGGTCACAGAATCAAAACACTGTGGTCTTGTCTATTACACAAAATATTGAGAGAATATTCTTTTTTCTTGTGGCAGGTGGTCAGTAAGGGAAATCAAACCCTTGATCTTGAGACAATCCATTTTCAGTAATTGTGGTCATCAAGAGGGGAGCTTCAAAACACTTCATGGCTTCCTACTACATACCAAAATGTGTCAGACAGGTATTGCCAGCAAGAACATTTCCTGTCTTTAAACATTTAGAAACAAAATGGTTTCCAATCCATAAGCCAGTCCTCATGCGTCCTTTCATGAGGGACCAAGACATAAAAACACACACAAAAGTGTAAGATGCTCATAAAATCAAGACCTCCCCACCAAACATACCACCAAGTCATCAGGGAAGCGGTGAAGACTCGTCCGAAAAGACAAGCACTACAGAAGTACTGCTTGAAACACTGAATATGATTTCCTCAAGATCCTTCTTTCTACCCCAAGAGAAGCGCCCAGCTCTGGAACGAGAAAGAAAGGGCAGAGGGGAGGGCAGTTTCCCTTCCCTCTGGCTCTGGGTGGATGCCAACTCCAACTCACAGGTCAAAAAATCAGGCTCCAGGAATTGAACACTCCTTGCAATAGCTTTGCACTGAGGACAATGGCCAGTAACAGCAAAGGGCCACAGGGATGACTGGAGAACAGCATCCACCTTTGTTGCAGGAGCTGTTTTAACTAACTCTCACTGGCTCTTCGTCTGCTCAACTCTGCATCAGTCCCGCATATCTGAGGAGTGAATTAAAGCAGCTAGTCTGTCATTCTCCAGCACCACCCTACGATCCTCTCCTTGACACTGCCCTCCCCAGGGCAAGGAAACCACCTGTTGCCAGCTCTGGGGCCTGTATCCACAGCGACCCCACTTTACCAGAGAGGGTCCCAAATGTGATCTGGAAAACAGAACAGGAGCTCTAAAATACACAGAGAATAATTCCACACAGAAAAGTAAAACTTGGGGCTGGCCCGGTGGCACACTGCTACAGTGCACCGCTTGGGAGCGCGGCGGCGCTCCCGCCGAGGGTTCGGATCCCACATACAGACCGGTTCCCGCTCACTGGCTGAGCGAGGGGCGGGCGCAGCACCGAGGGTTGCGATCCCGTTGCCGGTCCCGGTCCAGTACGGGTGCGACACTGAGGGTTGCGGTCCGTTGCCGGACACGAAAAAAAAAGACAAAAAAAAAGAAAAGTAAAACTTGGCCAAGATCTCCATGGGGACGCAGCCCTCAGATGACAGACTCCAGGACAAGAGAGTGTAAAAATGGGTCTCCATTTAGATTTGCCTCTGCCCAGAATCCATGGCTGTCCACACCTCAGGCACATCCTCCTGCTGCCCATGGGGAGCTGGGAGCTGCAGGGTCTCCGGATGGTAGGTAATGCACCGTCCCCTTAGCTGGGTTTTACATTCACCAGTTGTCAGAAGTTTCTGATTCTGCTGGGGGTGGGAGGAGTTGCAGAACATCCCGCCCTGTCCTGTGGAACCTACACATCATAACGGTTCAAACTGTATGAGTTTGGATAGCTCTGCCGGCTATACTGGAAGTGATCTGTTAACATGTTGTTGCGGCCATACTGAAAGTCCCCATGCTGGGGGAAGAGGACACCGTTGTGGGGTTTCTCCAGTGGGCTCCGGTAATGCTCCTTGCTGCTCAGGTCTGCCGTCGAGACAGGGAGGAGGTGCTTCCTGGCTTGCTGGTTTGCATCATACTTGGTCTGCAAGGGAAAGAGAGTCATGAAACAGTCCAGCCCAGCCACCAGGACATGCCTGGGACACAAAGGGGAGCTCACAGTTCAGGCCCATCAGCCTTCAGGCTGACCTGAGCAGGGTTTGGGCATGGCCAGTGAGCGTGACCAGCCCACAGAGAGCAGCTGGTTCAGAAGGAGAGCCTCTCCTTTAGCCACACATGTACTTAACACTGGACAAAACAGCCTTTGAAGGGCTGGATGTTTTGCTCAGTTGGCTAGAGCACAGTGTTAAAACACCAAGGCCAAGGTCAAGGGTTCAGATTCCCACACCAGCCAGCCCTTAGAAAAATAAAAAAAGATAAACAGATCCTTCAAGAGGAGGGAGAGAAATCCCCAGCTACGCCTCAGCAGATCCAACAGCCACACCTGGAGGGCTGCAAGGACCTGGATCATCTATGCAGGAAAAGGCAGACCAGGGCAAAATGAGGTCACAAACTGGCCAGTGGCAATGCTGGGAACTGGAGCCCCCACCTCCAGCTCCCATGAGGCCCTTCCCCAGGGATTTAGGGGATGCCCCTCCCCACCACCAAGATTTACCTTGTTGTATAGGAAGACACCCAGGATGGCTGTCATCATGCCCAGGACGTTGGTGCTAGTGACCGGGTTGCGCAGCATGATCAGGGACACCGTGATGACCATGATCCTCTTGGTGGCATTGGCGACTGAGTAGCTTAGGGGGCTGATGAGGTTGAGGATGCTGAAAGCGATGACGTTCTGGGCGAAGTTACAGAAGCCACTGACAGCCAGGAGCAGGAGTGTCCAGGGCCACTGGGAGATGTAGGTCTGCATAGATGGGGAAGCAAGGATGGTGCTTCAGTGGATGGCAGGGGAGGAGACACAGGGGCTCCTGTGGGGACCCACTGTCAGTAGGCAGCAAGCCAGAGTGTCAGCGTGTGACATTAGGTGGTTCATAAGCTTGACCTCTGACCCTCATGACACTGCATAACACCACAGTCACCCACCATTTCTTGCTGAGGAAGCAGAGGCTTGGAAAGGTGAAGCCAGGAGCCCTGGGGTTGGCACAGCCAATGGTCTGCTTGTTGGACATTGTGGAATATACTATAAAGCATATGTACTTCACAGGGCCTGGTTTTCCAAAGCCTTNTCTGATAGGTACAGTTTCCGACAAACTTTGAGTTCATAGCTTTAAACTGAAGTTCCAAAATCCTAATGAAGAAACTGATGGGTTTGTGAAATTGTTCACAAAGGTCAAACCAACAAAAGTTAATTGGTAGACTAATAAAAAGGAATTATGGGTTTTTACAGTTTCCTTATTTTAAAACACTGCTGGTTCTCCTGATGTTTTTCCAAATGTAAGAAAACTCTCCCTCTCTCTTCAGCTATCTATAAGTAACAACAGTTTGGTAATATGTCATTTAAAAGAGATAAAAGCACTTGTTTTCTCCCTATTTGATTCCCCCCCAAATTTAATAACTTTAAGTATACTTATGATTATTATGGGAATGTGGCTATTTTTATAAGTTCAATGAAAATTAACTCTCTCTCTTTATAACAGGATATAA